TATATAAAAAAAAAAAAAAAAATTAGCTATCCAGCTCAAGTTTGCTTCCTAAGCCTCAAAGCAAAAGTAATTTACATAGAACATGACAGAGGTTTCAGGAAGAAAACATTTTTATAAGGTCAAAAATGAAGATAAGTTTAAGAACAGAGCAGGAAAAATCAGTTCTAGCTCCCTTGTATAATTTTTTTATCTGTTACTATCCTTTAATTTCACTTCAGTTCCAAGTTTTTGTGTTATTTAACAAGTCTTCTAGGCATTACCAGAAGTACAAAGATGAATATGGCCCTCAGAGACACTTAATGAGGGAGCCCATACATTGATAGACAACAGGTAAAAATGAAGCAAAAGTAGGGTGGGAAAGTGGGTCCTGGAGTTTTACCTTACATGGTACCAGTACATAGAAGACACTCAAACATTTGGTAAATGAATGACTGAACAACAACAACAACAAAGGGGGGAGGAGAATCTAGATTTTCTATCTAGGAACTACAGATATTGATTTTGATGATCTTTACTAATCTCTGTGTGAGAAAAATATTTTTTTTCCAAAAAATGGTTCATTCACACTAAGGAAATGCAAGGGATGTAGTAGTGATCCTTAGGAGCATGGATAGGTTCACCAGGAATTAATCAGAATATAGAAGCCTATTTTCCTGTAAATGAGGCATAACATAGGCATAGTCTATTTTGCTGTTAGAATGTCAGTGGCTATATCCAGAGCATATCCAATCTTTCTGACACACTATTCAAGAAACAATTGCATTCATCTCAGTTTCCTCATTTAGGTTACTCTATAATTGAAGACTGGTTAGTTCCCCTCTAATATAAATCTTGGCAATTTATAACTTCAACTCTTAGAAAATAAGTGAAGTTTTTTCTTTACTACATCTTTGCCTTAAATTCACTGTTCCTGTTTTGAGTTAGCCAAAAGTCTTTGATTCAGGTTTTAAGTTCATTTTTGCTAATTATATGCTAATTATATAGTTGTTATTCTTCTTCAAGGAAAGCATGATCCCTCCATTGTAGGTGCTGTGAGTCACAACAGTTCCAGAAACCTGTGCCAGGGTTTCCTGCTGAGACCCATCTTTGTGATATGTAATAACAGCTCTTCTGAAGTGGCTTGCTTGGTCATCTCTTGCAGGGCACTCCAGAAATCTGCAGAACTTTATTTTCTAGTTAGAATGAAATGTAGAATATATTCTGAGAGTCATGAGATCTTAGAATCAAATAACATGAATCCAAAATTCCCATAGAGCTAGTTTCCATATTTTAAAAATATTATAAAACCATTTGTTCTCTTCCTATCAGAACATTTTCAGGAATCAATCAAAATATTAATATCTTTCCACACCCACCTTCTCCCCATGTTTCTGTCCTAGTAATACAATAAA